CGAGGCGGGAAGTGGGCCCAGGAAGCCAACGGAGCATGGTCCTCCAGGCGCAGGTACACTCAGCACCCGCTCCTAGGGCATCTGGCTCCAGGGCTGGGGGTAGGAACAAGGGTTGGCAGAGGAGGGCCCGGCCACAGCTCGGCGGCTGAGGTAGCTGCAGGAGAGGCTGGCGGTGTGCTCGGAGCCTAGGGCGTAGTGGCCCTGGACCTCAGCAGTGTCTGGGCTGCCCTCTTGGCCTCCATCTCCCTGCTCAGGCCGCAGAGGATGCGGTGTGGCCACTGTCACCAGGCCAGGGGTGAAACCATCCCGGAGCTGCGCGGGCCCTCCCCGGCCTGCAGGTCACTCAGCGCTCGCTGGGGAGGGGGAACACAGAGGTAGGGGTGGTCAGTGGTCCCAGGAACCTGTGACGCCGTCCCTGTCTCTTCCCACACTAGACAGCCAGCACTGAGGCTGCAACCCACCCCACCAGGGGATTAGGGGGATGTGTCTCTCACGGGGGCCCCTTTCCCAGCCCTGGCTTCACGGAGGATCCCTTCATTTGGCCTCTGGTCCCCACCTCTCCAAAAGGGCCCCTCAGGTCTCCACCGGGGCTCACCTCGAATTTGCTCATGAACTCTGCAAAGATGCCGAAGAAAGCCTCAGAGGTGGTGGCCTTGGAATCCTCCCCGAAGAAGGCCAGCGCCTTGCCCAGCTCCTCCATGGCCTCGCGCTGCAGCCCGTCCAGCGCCCGAAGCGCCGGCTGGGCCGTCTCCAGGAAGGACTGACAGGCCTCAGTTAAGGAAACAGCCAGTCCGCTGATGCCCCCAGGGTCTCAAGTGGTGGCCCCAGACAGACAGGTCCCCTAGCAGCCCTATTCCCGGTTGGCCTGAGTCCTTCCAAGGGCCAGGTCCTGTGTCCAACAGGGAACCGGGTTCTGTTAAGGGACTCCAGTCTCACTGGCCACTAAGCTCATCCGGGAACTGGCCACAGCCAGTGCGGCCTTAGGTCATTCACCCCTGTTCTCTCTGCAGGGCCAGGCCCTGGGTCTCTGATCAGAGGCTTCCACTGCCACCTTCTTCCCCAACCAGCCATTTACAGTAGGCCCCTCTGTCACTCTCTAGGCCTTACTTTTTCTTTTTTTGAGACAGGGTCTTATTCTGTTGCTCAGGCTGGAGTGCAGTGGTGTGATCACAGCTCACAGGTCATTCCAGCGTCTACCTCCCAGGCTCAAGTGATCCTCCCACCTTAGCCTCCCAAGTAGCTGGGACCAGAGGCTCACACCATCACACCCAGCTAATTTTTTGATTTTTAAAATAGAGATAGGGTCTATATTGTCTAGGGTGGTCTCAAACTCCTGGGCTCAAGTGATCCTCCCACCTTGGCCTCCCAGAGTGCTGGGATTATAGGTGTGTGCCACTGCACCAGGCCTTAGGCCTTACTCTGTTTTCTAGAGCATTTGTCATGATCTGAAATTGTTCATAAGTTCATTTCCTACCGCCTAAGTGAAAGCTCGCTCCCTCCTTGCACCTCCAGGGCTTAGAATAGCATCTGATACATGCAAAAAGATTCGGTGGTTGAATTGCTATCATGTTTTCAGCACTTAAAACGGTGCCAAGCTTTGTTCCAAGCTTGTTGAATCATCATTTAACACCTCTATGAGGTAGATAATCTCTATTTCACATGCGAACAAATTAAAGCACAGAAGACTTTAGCAACTAGTCCAAGATCACACAGCAAGCACTGTGGTACCTGAGCCACGGTTGAACCCACCAGGGTCATATCAATTAATGACCACTGTGGTGGCAGTTCTCATGACCCCTCTTTTTCCTGATGAGAAAACTGGGCTCAGAGACGGTAAGCGACTTGCCCATAGTCCCACAGCAGGTAAGCAAATGAGTCAGGATTTGGGCCTATGCCTGTCTGATATGCCAGGTCAATTTCCTTTGCAGAGGCTGCCTTTAATTGATTAATAAATAAATTAATTAATTTTGAGACAGAGTCTTGCTCTGTTGCCCAGACTGGAGTGCAATGGCACGATCTTGGCTTTCTGCAACCTCCGCCTCCTGGGTCCAAGTGATTCTCCTGCCTCAGCCTTCTAAGTAGCTGGGATTACAGGCACATGGCACCACACCTGGCTAATTTTTGTATTTTTAGTAGAGACAGGGTTTCACCATGTTGGCCAGGCTGGTCTCGAACTCCTGACCTCAGGTGAACTGCCCTCCTTGGCCTCCCAAAGTGTTGGGATTACAGATATGAGCCACCGTGCCTGGACTGCCTTCATTTTATTTTTGAGACAGGGTCTCACTCTGTCACCCGGCTAGAGTGCAGTGGTGTGATCATACCTCACTGCAACCTTGAACTCCTGGGCTCAAGTGATCCTCTAGCCTCAGCCTCCTGAGTAGCTGGGACTACAGGCATGCACCACCATGCCAGGCTCATTTTCAAATTCTTTTGTAGAGATGGGGTCCCGCTATGTTGCCCAGGCTGCTCTCAAACTCCTGGCCTCAAGCGATCTCTCAGCTTTGACCTCCCAAAGTGCTGGGATTACAGGCATGAGCCACTGTACCTGGCCCAGAGGCTACCCTTGAATGTGACCATCTGTCTTGTCTCTGGGGACCTCCAAGCCCAAGGAAGCAGGCCAATACCCTTAGACTGAGGGATGCTAGAGTGGACTAACCCTCACCTAAACAGCCTCAGTTTTCACATCTGCAAAACATCTGGGTGGGCTGGGCACGGTGGCTCATGGCTGTAATCCCAGCACTTTGGGAGGCCGAGGCAGGTGGATCACGATGTCAGGAGTTTGAGACCAGCCTGACCAACATAGTGAAACCCCGTGTCTACTAAAAAATACAAAAAATTAGCCGGGTGTGGTGGTGGGCACCTGTAAACCCAGCTACTTGGGAGGCTGAGGCAGAGGAAGTGCTTTAACCTGGGAGGTGGAGGTTGCAGTGAGCCGAGATCGCGCCATTGCACTCCAGCCTGGGCGACTGTGTGAGACTCCGTCTCAAAACAAAACAAAAATCTGGGTGTGAAGTGGGTGAAAGGAGATGGTGAAAAGCACCTTGCCCAAGCTGTAGAGTTTGCTTAATGATTCTCTGAAGATCTTCTGCCTGAGAGGAAGGGGCAGGGGTGGATCTGACGTCAAATTCCTACTCAGACACTCACTCGCACCAGGCCCCATGTGCTGCAGTCAGAGATATGTGACAGGCGCTTTCATCACCTACTGCCCTGGCCACAGGCACAGCCCCCAGACCTCTCCTCCTTACCTAGCTTCAGCCTTAGGGAAAACCCTGTGTTCCCTGCCAAGGGGTGTTGGAGCCAGAGATGGGGAGCAGGGAGAAGTGCCACATGCCCTTCTTGCCTGTCTTCCTATCTGGGCCTCTGTCACCCACTGGCCAGGCCCTGCTGGGGGGCTCAGTGGGAATGTCCCACCCTCCTGACTGCCTTTGGCTGGCAGGGCCTGACAGGCTGCTCCTTGTAATTTTGAGACTTAGCTCTGGGCTACAGTGCCCCAGAGGACAGATGGGACAGTGGCTTTGGGGCACTCAAAAGAGCCCTTCAGTTACGCACAGACTTGGCATTATAAATGCCTTGGGATTGTAAATGACCCAGGGCTAAGCGCAGTGGCTCAGGCCTGTAATCCCAGCACACTGAGAGGCTGAGGCAGGTGGATCACCTGAGGTCAGGAGTTCAAGACCAACCTGGAAAACACAGTGAACCCATGTGTCTACCAAAAATACAAAAATAAGCCGGATGTGGTGGTGGGTGCCTGTAATCCCAGCTACTTGGGAAGCTGAGGCAAGAGAATAGCTTGAACCTGGGAGGCGGAGGCTGCAGTGAGCCAAGATCGCCCAACTGCACTCTAGCCTGGGCAACAGAGCAAGGCTCTGTCTCAAAAAATAAATAAAATAAAATAAATAAATACATACATACATAAATACATAAAATAAAATAAAATAAATTTATAATCCAGGATGGGACACGGTGTTATGGCTCACGCCTGTAATCCCAGCACTCTGGGAGGTTGAGGCAGGCAGATCACTTGACCCCAAGAGTTTGAGATCAGCCTGGGCAACATGGCAAAACCCTGTCTTTACCAAAAATACAAAAATTAGCCAGGCATAGCCTGGGTGACAGAGTGAGGCCCTGTCCCAATCAATCAATCAATCAATCAATAAACAACCCAGCATGGAGCCTCTTCCAGGAACCCTGGGTGCACAGCAGCCTGTGCCCAGAATCTCTGCAGGAAGTTGAGGTCTCCAGTGGCCACTGGAGCCATAGCCAGCTCCACCCAACCATCCCACGATCCAGCCTGGTGCAGGAACAGGCTGCTTAGAGGATGCTGACATGACCACTGCAAACTTGTCCTCGCTGGAGGGGGAAATGCTCTCGCAGGCATCCTGTATCTCGCTGATAGTGCCATGGAGGTCGGCCAGGTCGCTGGTCAGAGCCCGTTGGTTCACTGTAGGGAAGAGGACAGAGGCCACATGGGGCCACTCTCCCAGCCCAGGACAGCATGCCTCTGCCTCATCCACCCACCCAGCATACCTTTGGCAGCCAGGGGCACAGTGGGCAGGTCCTGAGCAAAGCCCAGGAGTTCAGGGAAGTGCTGGCTCAGCGATTTGGCAAGGATGTGCAGGAAAGTGGACTTCCCATCTACTGTCTTGGTGGAGTTCAGCTGCAAGTGACCCCCAACATACATCCCCATCAAGGACCCCATCAGATGGGGTCACATGGGCCCAGCTTCTCCTGGACTACTGTGGCATCAGTGATCAATTCTTGCCCCACCCCCTTTTTTTTAAATAGCAGGGTCTTGCTCTATTGCCCAGACCAGAGTGCAGTGGCTCCATCATAGCTCACTACTGCCTCAAACCCCTAGGCTCAAGCAATCCTTCCACCTCAGTCTCCCAAGTAGCTTGGACTACAGGCATGTGTCATGCCTGGCTAATTATTTTTGTAGAACTGGGGTCTTGCTATGTTGTCCAGGCTAGTCTCCAACTCCTGGCCTCAAGTGATCCTCCCACCTTGGCCTCCAAAAGTGCTGGGATTACAGGCATGAGCCACCACACCCAGCTCAATCCCCAGCCTTTGACACTCTCTTTCCAACTCTTTCCCCTCACTCCATTTTTCCAAATCCTGGGAGTGTGTTCCCCTACACCACCACACCCCACCCTTTGCTGCAGTCACATCCTGGCTTCAATGTAGCCCTTTTCCTGCTAGGAGAAGAGCCCTCCTTGGTCACAATGTCCTCTCCTGCCCTCTGCCACAACTGAGCTAGGCTTGGCGTCAGCGCCTTGCTGCTAGAGCAAACCAGTTAATTGCTGCCGGCAGGCCCCCTCACCTCTGTTAGAAAGTTGATCTTGAAGCCGGTGGTCTTGTTGGTTTTGGGCTGTCCATCGTTGAGATAGTTGCCCATGGCCAACACAAACTGTGGACGAGAAGGTGGGCAGGTCCTGTCCTCCACCACCACCCACCCACCCTGCTCTCTGGATGGGCCTCCATGCTGGAAGCCCCAGGAGGCGGAGAAGCAGATAGGGTGCCAGGGAGGGTATGCCCCCTGACCTCCAGGATCTTGGCGAGCTTCCGACTGTTTTTGAGCTCCAGGGAGGCCTGGCGCAAGCATTCAAGGCTGCCACGGATCTCCTCTGTCTTCTCCTGAAGCGTGGCCTGGAAGTGGAGGCTGCGCAGGCGCGTCTTGTATTCGGGAACTGACAGCATCTACCTCGAAGGCAGAGCCAGGATTCACCCATCCCCTTCCTGGGACCCTCTGCCCCACTGCAGGCTTTGGGGTGGGGGGTCTGCTAAATGCTTGGGCCCGATATTCCGATAGGAAGAATAAGCACGACCCCTGGGGGAGCCCACCTCCCATGTACCTTGGACCCCTGATGGGACCTGGCCATTAAAGGTTAATGTTAAACTGGGACACAGAGGCCTGGGCGCAATGGCGGCCCTCGAAGGGGCGCGGGACTCCAGCAGCACTGGCCACAGCGACAGCCCCTATGGAGCCGGCCGAGGCCTCGGGG